AGGCTGCATTAGGGCAGCACGGTGCTGCAGTGGGGCAACTGCAATGTAGGGGTGAAAAAGCTCCAAACTCCCCCCCAGTACACACACACACATACACACGTTGTTGTGCCCCATCCTTCTGCAGGACACCCATGGATGCTCACTGGGGGCACAACGGGGGAAGTGAAGCCATGATATGAGGGCAGGTGGGCACAATGCAGGTGCACAGAGGGCAACCCCAGGTTTGGATACCCCCCTCCCCCTCCCCGGCTCTCTGTGCGATCCTTTTCCCCCAGAACGCAGCCCCACAACGCCGAACTTATGGGCACGGGGGGGAGGTGGGTGTCTTTGGGTGACCCCGTCCAGGGGTGTCGGGTCGCTCTGTGGGGTGCACTCCCAACGGAAGCAGGGATGCGGGGATCGCGGCTGCCTCTCTGCGCATCCCCACAGCGGATGGGTGGCCGGTGGGAGTGGGGGGATGTCAGGGTCCCGGTGCAGCCCCGACCCCCCTCCCCAACCTCGGGCCGTTGCCCTCCCCCCGCCCCGATATAAATAGTAGCGTCTTCCCGTTCCCTAAATTTCCTCGCTGACGTAGCGCTCACGTCATTGTGTAGGTTGATGCTTTTCTATGAATGAGCCGAGATCCCCGTTACTACGAGCCCGATCCTATAAAAGCTCCGCGCTCTGCGGACAGCGCAGCATCGCCACACCGGCGCCGTCCCCGAACCGGGGGGGAACCGCGGGGCTCCGGGTCCGGACCGGGAGGTGTCGGGGTCCGGGGGGAGGTAAGGCTGAACCCGCCCCCCCCTCCAGGTAAGCGGGGACGGGAGGGGGCAGCGCAGCCCCGCGGCATCGAGCGCTGCACCTGTATGTGGGGAAGGGGGGGGGAACGGGATCGGGACGGGGGGGACTCTGCGGCGGAGGGGGGGCGGATCGGGGCCGCCTGGCGCAGCCCCACGTGCGGAGGGGGCGGTGGGGTCGGGGCGCGGCGCCGGTGGGGGCGGGCGCGGGGGCGGAGCCGCCCTGGGGAAGGGGAAGGAGGGGGGGCCCGACCGCCCCCCCCACACTTTGCGGTGTTTATGAGTGCGTGTGTTTGGACACCGTGTATCCCCCTCCTCTCCTCAGCCCTTCCCCCCCCCACTCTCCCCCCGCGCTTTTTGCTGCGGGTGACATTGGCATCCCAATGTCTCCGCATCCAGCCCCGACGTGGCCCCCCCGCAACGTCCATCCCCTTTCCCCCCCACCTCCATACCCCGCACCGGGACACCGCACCCCCGCACCCCGCGCTCTGTGTCGCCTTCACCCCGACCGTCGGAAAAGCGTGGAGAGACCCCGTCGAGGAGAGCCCGAGTCAGCGCATCGGCACCTTGGCTCTAGACTGCTTACTGCTGCGTAGGGACAGGACAGTAACAGTCTACAGTCATGGCTACTGAAGCATGACCCACCGGCACCGGCACCGGCACCGCTGTGGGGCGGGGGGAGCGGTCCCGGGAAATGGGGGGGAGGGTGG